AACTTAGAAGGAAATGAGTTTCCACATGCCTGAGCATTGCATCTTGAAAAGGAATATCCAAATCCTTACAAAGACCGCTTAAGGTATCCTGTACATAAATAAGATGAAACAGGTATCACATTTCAAGGTTTGGCAAAATAACAGCCCAATACATTGTAAGATGTCATTTGCAGTAAGATAACAGGCTTTCTATATAGTAAGATCTTCCAGGTTATCCTATTATAAAAGATAGACAACCTCAGGATTTTCTTGAAGGTCGGCGGCATCGATGACCGATGGGGGCTTTCCCTGTGCACAAAGCTCACTGTATACGGAAACTAAATCCCCCAAACCTAGTTCAAGGAAAGATGGAGGCACAACCTTCTCAAAGGATGACTGAAAATAAGCACAAATAAAACATAAATATATCAGTGAATGGCATCAGAGATAACAAATGGTGGAACATTGAGCAGTAAGCATCAGATTATTAAATATTTCCGGTGTATATGCTGTAAGGTTTATAAAATTTGCAATGTCTATATAGATGTTAAGACATCAAACCTTAAGCAATTCACTTCTAAGTTCTAAACAAGGAAAAATCTACTATATACCTACAGATTTCCTTTATGTTCACTGATATGATTCTCTCCGAGTGAAGTGAAATGGCAAAATGAGTTCCAAACAGCTTACCAGTATATTGAGAGGATTTTGTATCAGTATAAAGTGCTTTCCTCTCAGAAGCAAGTCATTTGGCAAACCGGGCACCCTTTGCTTTACAATGTGCTGTATGCAATGAGAGGAGGATTGGTACATAAAATAATGTTTCAAAACTAAAATTTTCAAGCTATGATAATATAGAGTTCAATCTTAGCATCTGATGATGCACTCCACATAATGTGTTCCGCTACATAGGAAAAGCCAAAATCACCCAGAAAACCCATTAGCAAACCTTCTTGCATTAAAATTCAACACACTTTTGCATGTGAAATGAAGTTAGAACAAATGAAAATAGCTTAAGAAATTAACTCCTTTAGAATCAATCTATTCTCGAAATGAAAAAGTATACCCTTCTTAAGGAAAGTCATGCATTCTACATAAATATTTAAAAAACAAGACTAGCAATAATTTCTCAATTAGAACCAAACACATGCTTGCAACAAGGAAAAAAATTGTAGATTACCTTACAATACCTATACTTCTTTTTTCCTGGACCGTAAATGATGTCGTTCACAACTTTATTACCATCACATTCCTATTCCAAAAAATATACAAAAATGAGGGAGATACCATTGACAACTGAAACAAAGCACAAAAGCATAGAGGGAAACCAGAAACTGAAAAGAATAGACATTGTTTAAATTGAAAGGATCAGACATATAAAACAGAAAGCAGGATAATATGTTTAGAAATAACAAAGTTAAAAGTAATAAGCATTCTTCACAATTATTGAGTAATTGGAGCAGACCAAACAATTAATTTCCAACATCTTCAACAACCATTCAGAATTCCAGTTGCTATGCTTTTGTTTCTGATATTTTTTTTGATAGAAATGGGAGACCTCATTAAAACCCCCTTCATAACCTATGAAATATACACTATTTCACAGGACATTGGGAGGAGGAAAAGGGTGTCTCAAGATTTTATTGAATATCATAACCATATTACATTAGAGTTTACATCATACACCATACTACTACCACTACTTTTGTTTCTGATATAAACAGATATTCAGTGACTTGGAACACGGATGTGTCCATGCATGCCTGGTACATGTTCTGTTGTGTCAGAGACTTGCCCGACATGAGTACACTCCCAAAACAGAAAAGTCCATGAGTCATAGAGATCAATCAATTAATGTTGACTGCAACATAAATCTCATGTTGATTTACTTCCCTCCATAATTGACCATTTGCCTCATAACCAATAAAATTACTCAGAGAAGTAACATTAAAATATATTTTCTGCAGAGCATAATCAAAGCCAACATATATAACGAACTTCAATCACATAATTTGAGGGATTTCATCTACACTTAACAAAACCGATGACAATTTTCTATAAAATGAATAAATACTTCATAATCTATCGTATTTTTTTTTCATCTTAAACTGCAAGGAAAGAAGCAAAAATGGTAAAACATAAGTTAAGCTTATGTGACATACCATCTTAGAAAGGAGATCTTCACGGTAGGGCCTTTCAGCACCGGTAGTGCGAAGAAAAGTTCCATAGAGAGGCTCATCCAGAACTTCTATGTCATCTCTCTGAGTATAGCAGAAAACGTTAAGTATATAATATAAGCCAAAGAGAGGTAAACTGAGAAACTTGTAAAGAGAATTTCGGTTTTATCCGCCATTAGTGTTTCATGAACTTCACCCAATTTTGAACTTCAGATTAATATTTTATAGTTACTTAAAAGATAAAAACCCTTCAATGTTCAATTACTTTCTGAAAATTGAAGCCCATACCATAAGATAGGACACCATCCAATTCAACTAAATTCAAGTTTTCAGGGCCAATATTTTCGCAAATTCGATTACGGAACTTTTTTTTTGATAAGAAGTGGAGGCCTCGTTAAAAACCCCCTTCATGATTATAGAACACCAAATAGGTGCTCCTTAATCAATTACGTAACATTGAAAACAGAAGAATGCAAATCAAGAAGCAGTAGGACCATGATTCAGTTGAACACTTATTAAACCATGAAGTACGAGTCTTCATTTGTTTCTTCTTCAAGTATCCATGTCCGACTGTGACCCATATCCGGACATGAGCACAGAAATATGATCCTCCTAGGACCCTTCCAAATACATGGATAAACTTGAAAAAAAAATTAACCTACCTGTATTGGACAAATATTTAACATGGATATTTGAATTCGACACTTTCAAAAGCTTGAAGATTCCAGTGAATGTGATCCAGAAATCAAAATCATGATTAATTAACAAAAGCCACTCAAACAGTGAGATTTGTAAAATTCGAAAAACTAAGACTTGTCCTCCCTAAAACAAACAACCATTTCAGTGATTTCACTACTGTTTCATGATTCAACTTCTCTGCTTCAATTTTCTCAGCGAACAATAAAACAGTCAGGAATTATAACACAAAAAAGAAAACTAATAGGTAAGTTAAAATGTAGTCAGCAATTCCATTTTATCGAAACAAGTAAGATTTTTCTTAATTCTTCCTCAACTTGAAAACCCACCAATCTTCTTAATAAACCATATGTTGAGAAGAATCAAAATTTACTTTAGAGTTCTTCGTTCTTCCCAAAAGGTCTTTAAAATTCAATTAAAAGGTCCATTTTCAAGCCAATTCAGAGATTATATAACAAACAAGAGCGATAATATACTTTCATCTCCATTTTTTCTCTCAAACTTTCTCAGCCACCAAACAACGAACCCAGAAAAAAGAAGCCGGTAGTACCTGAGAAAACGAATACATGAGACTGGTACTGAGTGATCTTGGAGCAGACCATGAATGGATGATCTCTATCTCTTCCTGCTTTAAGTCTCCCATGGATGGTTCTTGGATATGGTTTAAGATGGTGATCAGCTGCGCAATAAATGAAACAAGAAAAGTAAAATTACAAAGGCAATTCAAAATAAAAGGAGAAGAGAATCCTAGCAAAAAAATCTGCTGTTTAAAGATGCTTACGCTGCTTAAGCTGAAGAAACAACCTTGTTTTCTTTAAAACGAAAGAACAGTAAGGAAATTGAAGATGACCAATCACGGTAACTCAATTGTACGAATCTGATGTATTAAATGAATACATCTGACATCGGCTTAGTTAACGCTGATGATTTTTAATATAATTGATTCATTTTATAAAATAGAATCATAACCGGTTAAGATCAATTATAATCTTATAATTTTATTTTAATTTTAGTAAGTTTGAAAAAGTTAGTATTTTAATTTAAAATATTAAATTATCGTTGATTTAAATATTTTGATCAAAATATTTTTATTTTAAAATTAAGTAAATTATTTTTTTGAAAATTTATTATCCTAATTAAAAAGGGTTTAGGGACGGTATAATATTAAAATTTTGGCCAGAGTACACAAGTGATCTCGATCATACGGTGTTGTTTTGTTGAATATCTGACTATAAAAAATTATAAAATGATTCTCTGACTATAATATGTTACTTTGTTAAATCCTTTGACTATTAAAAGTTATAAAATAGTCACATAACTATTCATATGTTCCAAATTGGTCTTTTTTCACTAAAAAATTGATAGTGGTTTGATTTAAACGTTAACCTATTGACTGAGATATATTAAAATTTGATCCTAGAATCTCAAATGGTTATCATATATCAAACAACATGTTAACATACAACTGAGATGACTGTTAATTTTTCATTGAAAAAAAGATGGAGTTTGGAACATATGAAGAGTCCAATGATTATTTTGTAACTTTTAATAATCGAATGACTCAACAAAACAACATCATATAGTTGGAAGATTATTTTATAATTTTTAATAGTTAATGAACTTAACAAAACAACACCCTATAGTCGAGGGACTAATTGTATACTTTACCCTACATTTTTTGCATATTAAGTCGATTATTCGTTTGCTTTAGATTAAATGGTAAATATGGATTAATGAAGTGTCGAGCTTGGACAGCTTATTATAGCATGGATGTCGAGGTTTAGGTATAAAAGCAACATTAAAAGAACGATGAGTTTCGAAATATGATTTGTTTTTATCAAAGCTAAACAAAATGCAATTTGAGGGAATGGGGTATTTCAACCCGAAACCCTTTTGTTTTGATTCTGATTTTGGCAATTTTGCTTACCACGATCAAAAGCAAACTTCCACTTGCTAAGACATGCACGACTTACCAAACTTTTACCTTTCAAAGTTTACTATTATCTATAAAGATTCAAATTAGTACCTCCAACGTGCTTTTCGCCAGACAAAATCCTAAAACTTTCTATTAAAACCGACATAACTTGCAGATCAGGTGCAAGTCTTCACAAATGGTATGATTTGTAATTCCATCGTTCATACATTGTATAATAATCCCTACAACCTGTTGATCCTACTGTAGACCATGGCCCCTGAATCTTCGGTTCTCCGCATCATTGCCTTGGTGTTCGTCTTCTTGCCTCTCACCGATTCCATTAACTTCAAACTTCCGGCCATTTTTAACTTCGGTGATTCTAATTCTGATACCGGTGAGCTAGTAGGTGCTGGCATCGCTAGCCTCAAACCGCCTTACGGTCGAAGTTACTTCCGAACACCAGCAGGGAGATACTGTGATGGCCGTCTCATCATTGATTTTCTCAGTTAAACTTCTCACAATTTGCATTGCATTTAGACATTGCCTCACCCCCTGCTGCATATTTGCATATTGTTGTTTGCTTATTCGGATTATTCGTTGCAGTGGATGCAATGGATCTGCCGTTTCTAAACGCTTACCTGGATTCGATCAGCACGCCGAGTTTCCATAAAGGTTGCAACTTCGCCGCTGCAGGGTCAACTATTGAACCGCCTACTGCACAAGCTGTTAGTCCATTTTCTTTTCGAGTTCAAGTGGCTCAGTTTGTCAGGTTCAAAGCCCGGGTTCTCAGATTGCTGGCTAAAGGTAACAGAAATATGATCATCATCCAGAGAATCCATTTATCTTGAACTGAAGCATATATATACGTAGAGATTATCATTCGATTGCAGGTGAAAAACTTGACAAGTATCTTCCAGCCGAAGATTATTTCTGGAATGGCCTTTAATTGTTCGATATAGGCCAAAACGACCTAGCGGGTGCATTTTATTCCAAAATTTTTGATCAAATACTTGCCTTAATTCCTTTGATCTTGACAGAATTTGAAACTGGAATAAAGGTCAGCTTCAAGAACACTACACCAGTACTTGTTACATTAAGATTCGGTCTTAAATCTCGAATTGTTTGTTTTTCGATGTAGATACTATATGAACAAGGGGCTAGGAATTTCTGGGTACATAACACGGGACCTCTCGGATGCTTAGCTCAAAATATCGCTAAATTCGGAACCAATCAATCAAGCCTCAACGAACTAGGATGTGTCAGCAAGCATAACCAAGCTGCTAAAGCCTTCAATCTGCATTTTCATGCCCTCTGTAAGAAATTGCAGAGCCGGTATACAGATTCAAACTTTACTTATGTTGACATTTACACAATACAATCCAACCTTATAGCGAATTATTCTAAATTCGGTATGTTCAATTTAGAACTTTTGAGAGTTTTGATTTCGTTCTCAACAAAACAAAGATAAACAAGAGGTACAAGTATGGGAACAAAATGATTTTGAGCGCCTACATTTTGCAGGATTCGAGCAGCCGATAATGGTTTGCTGTGGATACGGAGGTCCACCGTTGAATTACGACAGCCAGATTGGTTGCGGGAAAACAAAAGTCTTGAATGGAACCACAATGACAGCCAAAGCATGTGATGATAGATCTGAATATGTTAACTGGGATGGAATTCATTATTCGGAGGCTGCAAACCAATATGTTTCATCAGAAATACTCACAGGAAAGTACTCGGATCCACCCTTTTCCGACAAAATGCCGTTCCTTCTAGATCTAAAGTTCTGAAGACCTTATTTACTCATGGCCGCAACTGATCAAAACTCAATGTAATAAATGTCCCGCGTTGATGAAATTGTTGTTACACCTCTCAAACTGGAACATTACCATGACTCGATTTTTCCTTATCCGATACTCAACATTACCATTGTAGATGTTTGATTTGTCCGAGGCCCATATCACTTGCAAATGAAAACAGTTTTGGGGGTTAAAAACCAGAAAAGAAAATGTGAAGGCCATTTCTTTATTTTTTTCACCGTGGGTAATAAAAACTGAAATGTGCAGTTTTTACGTGGGGAAATAAACTGTAAATGGAGGGGGATGGTCAGTTTTTTGAAGGAGATAACCACTCATCAACTTGTTGAAAAAACGGGGGGAAGAGTTAGAGAAAAAAAAACAGAAAAACACAAGGAGGAATTTTCAAAAAAAGAGAGAGGAGATCAACCATTATCAAAGGAGAGCATTGTAAACAGGGGTTGGGGATTATTGTAAAAGGAGTTTTTCCTTTCATGGATGAATAAAAAACAGAAATCATTGAAGAATAATTCCATTTTGAAATTCTTTCTCAACACAAACCTCACAAATCAACAAAATAGAGTAAACTTAACAATCAAACATAAACAAACAGTAAAAATCATCTTCAGTCATCGACATCACAATTGAAGAGGGAGGAATTCGATCGTTACTACCTGAGTTCGAGGCCTCCATTGCGTGAGATTTGTCGTCGTTTCGTCTGGCTTTAAGGGAGCATCCAACCACCTAAAGGTAATACTTTTAATGTTCAGCCGAGGGTTTTGTTAGGTGTCAAGGGTTGTATCTTCGGGGTTAGGTTGGGATATAGGGCTAGATGGTGTCCTGTTGGATATTTAGGTAAATCTTACACGGATTTAGACCCTCGTCGGAGCTTCTAGGTGGTGGTCGTTCGTTTTGGTTGAGGGCTAGAGAAGGAGAAGACATGGTGGCTTGAGTTCTTCAAGGTGGTCGCGTAGTTTGTTTTGAGTTGGGGTTTTCACTTGTATTTCTTTAGGAACCTTAGCTCTTCGTTGGAGCGGCTATAGGGCGGAGGCCACGGTGACCTTGTGTAGTCGCCGGTTCGAAGAAGTAGAGGGCAAAGGAGAAGAGAGATATGCGGCTGATAGAGATGAAGTAAGCTAGGTTTAGTTTTCACATGAAATTACATATATATTAGCGAATTAAAACGGTGTCGTTTAGGGAATTTAGGGTTTCCTATTTCTGCGTGGTTTATTCTTAATATGGGCCATCTAGATTTTCAATTTCATGTAGTTTCGTCCTTAAATCGATGTTTTCATATTTCTAATTTTGTCTCTGTATTTTACTCGTATTTAATTTCAGTCCTAAATGGTAATGTATTTAGTTTCTGCTTGTTTATATATTTGACTTGTACTTTTACGCACGTTATATTTTAGTCCTCAGGCTGTTTTCTTTTGGGTTTCTGTTCGCGTCCTCTAGGTTTATGTATTTCCTTTTTTCGTCCTAGATTAGGTTGTCTTTGATTCTATTTTGTTTTTACATTTAAGATGTAATTTTGTGAATTTGTATTTTAGTCCTGGAGCAAAGTTATTTTGGGTTGTGTATGAATTTCCGTATTTAACCTTTAGTTTTATTTCTTGTGTATTTTAGTCTTTTGAGCAGGACTTGTTGTTGTTTTATAATTTCATTTTTTATTACTCGTTTTTTATATATAGATTCGTTCTGGCCTTAGATGTTCATAGTTTCTTTTTTTAATAGTAATGCCTATATTTTTTTAAATAGTTGATTTTAGGCCATAATATTTTGCTTCATTTCATGTTAGTAACCTCTAATTTTTGTTATGTTTATTTTAGCCATTACATTGCTTTCTTTAGTTTGTATGTGATTTATCTTTGTTGTATTTTGGTGTGTTAAGCACGATTGTGGCATGTTATTAAATTAATTGGTCTAGGAAGTGTTTATGTAGGCATGTTTGATCATACACATATAGTTAGATGCCATTAATTTTACATGACATACACTTCTTGCATAATTTGCATGATAGCCTCACTTGCATAACTCGACATATTCATAATTGGATTAAGGGTAATATATTTTTAATTTAAAATTGTTTTAAGTGGGCAGTCATAACTGATTTGAGGTCCGCTTTTAATGATTTTAAAATAAAAGTGTATCCCGAAAGTGAAACCAAAAAAATTGATTCGTCACCTAAAATTTGGGAACGAGAGAAAAAGAAATATTCGTTTATTTAAATATATCGAGAAAAAGTTGTTATATCTTTAAGATCTGGTCTCGATATTTGTAAATAATCGAACATTCTTTATCTTTCTAAAATGACTTGATAATTTTAATTTAATTTGTTTGAGTGTTTTTGAATGTTTTAAATTTACATTTTTATTTTATGGGATCAAAAATCAAAATAAACTCGAATTTGTAAAGTTCATTGCAAAGACGTTAATTAATCGACTAGGTACCGATTTAGGGCGTTGTGGGGGTGCTAATCCTTCCCCACACGTAACCGAATCCCGAACTCGAATTTTGGTAACGCATACCTCAATTTGTTGTTTTAATTAAAGTTATTTTTTATTTAAAATGACAGTATTTTTGGGTGCTCAATCACACCCTAATCAAAGATTGATGGCGACTCTTCGAACCGTATTTTTCGATCGTAAAGGAAATTCAAATTTTTTCGAAACGAGAGGTCTTTTAAATCGCATATGTTTTTAAAATAAAAAAAGACAATTAAGAATTAATGTGGTTTTCAAAATCTCACCTTCCTTTTCACCTTTTAAGAAAAATCGTTTCGACAACCATGAAATTGCAGTTAAAACCATTCATCTTGATGAAAACATATGACAGGTCTCCCTAATTCGTGTATCACGTTATGGATAAAGTTACTCGTTTTTCGACTATAGAAGTCGATCATGTGCTATAACATAGCTTTCTTCGGCACCAGTGCAACACTCGATCAAGCACTATTCCGATCCTGCATTTGCAAATCTGAAAAATAAATCTATACTACTGCTTGGGGATGGAAAGTTTTCTCATCCAAGAAAGACAAGTCCTACGTTACAGAAAACACTCGAGTTTGACATTGCTATGAACTTAACCAAACGAACTCAAATAGTTTGTTTTTTTATTCTAGATGGAGTTTAAATTCTAAAAATAAAAACAATTGAATTTTAATCAAACTCCAAATCAATGAAATGAATTAACCTTCCATCCATTATCATACAAAGAAAACATTCTAAAACAATCATATGCAATGAAAATCGTAACATTCGGCCATAGTTCTCATCAGGCTTCAGTTTGATTACCTTTCCTCTGAACTTCATTGGCTATATCGAGCTCCATGGCTGGCCCAGCAATGCACCCCGTGGCTCATGAACAACAGCTGAAGGCGTTACTTTCTGCACTATGTTATTCTGATTCTTCATTTTTCTTTAAGCATCCGTACCTGATGCATACCCAGATTTGGATATGGTGAAATGACCTTGAAAAAATTGAACATGCCCGTGTCAGACACATACTCTATCAGACAACACCTGAGCTTGAATACCATAGCTTCTGCAGCATCAAAGGATAAGGAAGCACTAGTGTCTGCAATTGGATCTGAAGTTCAACGTCCAAAGAAAATGGTTTAGCATGAATGACACAGTAGAGGAGATGGCAGAGAGCAAAAGAGCATAAAAATGGACTCATTTTGTAGAGCATAAAAATACACGAGTCATAAGAACAGTCTCGAGTTTAGCAAAATTTACCTGCCGGTTTGTTCTTTGTAAGCTGCCGGTTATGGAGATAACCAGTTCCCAGTACTAGCTGATGTTGAAACTTCAATTTGATATCTTATTTTTCTCAAACGGAAAATAAAGGTGGAATTCTTAAAAAATAAAGGGAAAAAAGGACTTAACGGATTAGTGATTTACAAATAATGAGCTTTCCAACATGTAGTTTATGGCACAGGTTTTGAAATCTTAAGAATTGGTTTCTACAAAATGGTCTTTGGAATCATCATCTGAATTTTCTTCTTTGACATCTTCGAATGCATTATCTGAAACAACATCTTCTTTGACATCTGCATCTGAGTCTAATTCTTGGTCAAAAAACGAATTATGATACCATTTAGAATGATAGTTCAAATCAGCTTTGTTGGCCTTGATTCGCCATTTTTGCTCTTCTATCATTTCGGGAGAGAGTCCCCATTCTTGCAACTCTTCATCGGTATGATGGATTGCCAAGCTATATTCTCCACCAGATCCCAACTCCATAACTCGAATCTCGCAATTGCCAGGATTATATAGCCGCTCAAATTGCTCGACTGACCATTTGAACCACTTCATTAGAAACACCCGAGAGGCTAAACCGTGTGAGATTATTATCAGATTCAAATCTTGAGAAGGGTCATTGTTGAACCTATTCAAGTCTATATCTCTCCAAAGAGATTCAAGAGAACCTGTAAAATCCAAAAATAAAAAAATAAAAGAAATTCTTTCAATGTCGCTTTTCATCAACTCAAATTAAAATCAAAACCAAGAAATAAGATTTACCACGGCTCGTTCTGGAAAGAAATAAGATTAAAGAACAAGAAAGATTTATCACTTTATCTCGTTTAAACATAGTTAGGGTCGTAAACGAGCCAATTTGAGCTCGACTCGACTCGAAAACTATAAAATGGAGCGCAACTCAGCTCGAAAACTCACGAGCCTAAAATTTGCAAGCTCAACTCGAACTCGAAACTATGAATTAAAGCTCAAAAAAGCTTGAAATAAAAAAAACACTTAAACTTAACCCGGTTAAAGGTCAAACTCGAACTCAAACCTGAATTTTAAATATATTTATACTGTATTTTTAAAAAAGATCAACACATAAATGTTAATATTTTAATAATTTATTTTTTTAAATAAAATTTTAATATTTTATTTTTTCGAGTAGCTCGCGAGCTTTTCGAGTCGAGAATGAAACAGCTCATTTCGACTCGTTAAGAATTCTAACTCGAGTCGAATCTATTCAAGTCGAGCATTTATCAAACTTTGATCGAATTGATCTCTAGTAGCTCGCGATCTGACTCATCTTATTTACAGCCGTAAACAGAGTATACTATATATAACACGTAGTAATTCAAAGCCAGAGATTTGTTTTCAATAGACAAGAACTGCTTCACCATCATAATCTATTCGAAAAGAGTCACACCTGGTTCAATTCTACTTTTCTAACCTTAAACCTTAGAGTTGGTGAACACTGTTAACTAAAGTTCTATACTGATGACATGACAAGTCCAGCAACCTGAGACTTATCCTAGTTGGTTCATGCAGCCACTCTTTAAAACCAACATCTAAAAGTCCAGCAACCTGAGACTTATCCTAGTTGGTTCATCCAGCAACTAAACAGAATTTTGTATATGCAGTTCAACAGTCTTTTAATCTTTCATTTGTATTATCATAAACAAAACATGATCCCGAAATTCATTCAGAAGCTCTTTGCTTTCAAGGTTTCAAAACAATCAATTATACCATTCCCATAAGTATTTATTTCAAATAAAAGAAAAAAATACAGGAAAAAATTCAATAAAATACATCCAAAACCATCTGATTTCCTAATTCCAAATCACCGTTTTCTCAACAGAAACTAGATTCCCTAAGCACCCTTTTAAGCGAAATGCAAAGCTTCCATGAAAAAGAATGCAAATTTTATGAAGAAGAACATACTGGAAACCTATTCTCATACATAGTCAAGAAATCAATAAACCAGAGTCTTGTATATGCAGGAACCAAGAACCCAATAGCAAATTATCATTTTTCTCAACAGAAGCTAGATTTCCTAAGCACCCTTTTAAGCAAAATGCAAAGTTTCCATTAAAAAGGAATGTAAATTTGATAATGAAGAATAACATACTGGAAACTAGAACAAAAACATCTGCAGCAGATTCACCTTCAGGGAACCTATAAAAAAGCCTCCCAAAATTTTCTCTCGTTTCTTTTGTAATCCTCATCCTTTCAGCCACCTGGAAATTCCCAAAATCCTGTTCCCCAATCCTACACCCTTCTCTCACCCCGATCACTCTTTTCTTCGAGAACGATTTCCCAATCTCCCGTAGCGTGGATTGGGTGCGCTCGTAAGGAGATACGTAGAAGTAAATCCGCCAATGTTGGGAAGGCCCCTTGCTCGAAATGAGGTCCCGGAGCCGGGAACCGGCAAGTCGGGCTAGGGCTCGGCCATGTTCGGTTAAGGAGATCTTATAATCGGGGGTTGTCTTGTAGACCGAGGGGTCTTTGTTGCCTTCGGACTCACCATGTCGGACAAGGATTATGTGTTTCGGTAACAACCTAAAGTTCGGCATCTTTTTTCAATCTTTTGCGAATTTCACCATTGTTTCGTCATACTTGCTTTGTTAATGCTTGCCATTGTTAGGCCAGTTTCATTTGTTGGGGAAGATTATAAGAGAAGATAGCTCCAGTGGTCTATTTATTGGATGCATAAACAAGGTCAAAACATTCATTGAATCACATGGAGCATTGATCTTGTGGTTCCGTAAAACCATAGTGGGGAAACTAAAAAAAAGGTTGCTTAAAGAACATTTCATTTTCCCGAAAACACCCATATACGAGGAAGCATGTGTTCTGTTACCTGGTATTTTGGAAAACATGAGACCAACAAATAAAACAAGTGTGCTACTTTTGCAGACATTGTTAGACATTGAATAAAAAAACCCAAAGATCAAAACTTCCCAATTTATCATGTAAAGTGAAAATAATGGTAGGCTAAATCTAAGATCATTGTTTACAAAAATCCAGTTTTGATTTCAAGTAATATTATGAAAATTCACCCAATCCTGAGATGAAAAAAAAGCCTTTTCTTTTTTAGGATTCTTGTTTCAGTATTGATTTGGTGAATAAGAGATGGGTTTATATGGAAATGGGTTATCTTATTTTCTTCATAATAATTGACTGCAGCCAACCATGAAGTATTTTCAATGCTCATCAATGATAAAAACCCATGGAGAACTTACTCTACTCAATGGAGCTTTTCTGGTGATTGATTTTGTCTTGGGTGTATATTGTTTTGACTCTAATTGGGCATCAAAGATTCAATATTATACTAATGAGTTACGGATTTCAGTTATGGTGCAACTACAATGATTATGCTTACGATTAAAAGGAGAAATTATTATGGGGAAGTTCCTCACGGATTTGCATTGCCTTTTCTTCTTTTGATAGGTAGGCTTTCGTTTCTCCAATTGCATAGCAGAAATTTTCATTTGACGCGTTTTCTCATCAGAGAATTTCATGTGGATTTGATTTCTTGTCAAATATTATTAATTCAGGATAATCAGAACTGTAGAATATTTTCATATCTGTTAGCGAAATGCGTTTATGAATATCTACAGTTAGTCTAAAAATGCAGTAGAAAAAGTGAATTTTCTTTTATGATAGCCTTTCTCCTAATTCAATATGCAGCTCCAGAAATAGGTAAACCGTCTAATTTTTTTCTGTTTTCTGTGGTTAATCATAATAGGCTTTTTGCAATGTAGATTAACAAAGTATTACTTCTCACATTTCTGAGATTATTTAAGTTCTATTGTTTGTGGAGGAGGACAGTTTCAGCTTGTTTATGAAGGCGAGAAATACAATCGTGAGTTGTATGTACCGGTATTGGATTTAAAATTATGAATTCATTTGTAGAATTAAGTACATTTCTTTAATTTTTTTTAAAGCAACCATAGTTAGCATGGCCATTTCCGGTTAGTGTATTTATGCCATACATTATTGGACCATTTCATTTCAATGACATCAACTGTTAGAGTAGTTCATAAGACAGGAAATTTTTTTGTTATCCAACAATGCAATTGCTTTACAAAATTCGTGGCTCTCATTAAATAATCCACAACTAGATTTGATCATAAAGCCACTTTCTTCTTCGATGTATGGAGCAACATCATTAACAATGTCATGTACCTTTGTACCTTTCAAGAACAAAAGTGATCAATAGGAATAAGAATGTTTTATATTCTTGAAAATGATCAAATGAAAAGTTTCAAAAGTAGATTAATATCTTAACTAATTCATTCGTCAATCAATCACACCTTGCCAGTCAATCACTCACTTAAGAAGCTACGGTATACATCAATAATGTGAATGATATTGTTAGAATCTGCCGCGTGGAAGTCTTGTTTGCTTAGGAGTCTTTTATGATAATAAAGGATAAGTCTTAGGAATCCTTGTAATCTCTACCTCTATATATAATTTTATATTTAGCAGAAAGTCCTACTAGAAGTTAGCAACTCAGTGTATTTAAACTATTGTAATATCCGAAATTCAATAATCATATTTCTCTTACATTACCTCTTTTATTCTCTCTTCTTCGGGGTTTTCCTTATATTATAACGGATATAATGAAATTGTTATTTGCTAAAATGGGAAACCAGTTAACAGCCAATCAAGAAGTCTAAGTTAATGTATTTTCTCAGTGTTTTAATATTCAAAACTTTCAGTTTATGGACTTCTGGTTTGAACTTTGGAAGGTGTAAGGGGTCAAATGATAACTCATATTCATAATTCTTAAATGCATTTTTATTCATGCCATAGTTGACTAAAAAACATATCAGAAATTACATTCTCTAAGGCTAGAATTTCTAAGCAAGTATTTTTGGTGTGTGATAGGTTTTCTGTTCCAATGGAGATCTTTCTTATCATGGTATACCCTTATTTTTTCATCGTTAACTATTCTATCACATGCCATATTTTACATTGTTTGGATTGTGAATGGAGACCAATGGAGCATTTCTGATGCGCAATGGGAAAAGCTAATTGGTTTCGAAAGGTAAAATCTAATGCATGAATTAAGCAGTATGTTTTCCTTTTTATATAATTTGCACATTAATATGAATGAAATTTGCAGAGATCAGTCGCCTTTCTTTCCATCTGTAATGTATTTCTTGGTAGTACAAGTACTAGCAGCTTTGGTTGCGTTATTTGAGATACGCGGTAAAATTTTTGGTGTGGATTCACGGAGAAATACATTTTGGGGGCATCTATATTCCTTTGTACTGCAGATAGGTTTGTTATGCAGGACACCTCTCATATTACCAATTTTCTAATTATCTTTATATATATATATATATTCTGTTTCCTGTCTATGTTTCATATACTTTTGGATTCACCCTTCTTTTCTTTTAAAAGAATTACTTAGCACTTTAGTTAATCACTATACATCCTAGTTCAATAGACCATGAGGCTTCTTGTTTGTTTCTGAAAGTATCAAAACTTAAATTCTTCTTGGTTGTCCAGTGCATAATGAATCCTTTACTGATATGGTTACTTTTGGATTACATGCTTGTCTAAGAAAATTTTGACTTTGAGTTCAATCCATTTTTTATTCGATAATCTTAGTAGGCAAGTGAGACGCAGTGATTTATGGATTCGTTTGTCGTTATGGTAAAGTCATTAAGGTGTTCATTCCTCTTTTCAATAATAGACCGAAGTATAAGGTTAATATGTTCGCGTTTGTCCATTTCGAAAGCAAGGAAGATCTGTGTAATGCAGTGGAAAAGATGAACAACGTCTTGATTGATGGGAGGAGAATTTCAGTGACTGTAGCTAAATATAAGAAACATTCTGGGTTGAGGAGGCAGATTGCTGGGGGGTTGAGGGTGCAACTAGTGTTGGTATCAGAGGGCGAAAGGTTGGAAGTTTTTCTTCGTCAGTTGGAAGGGTAAGGAAGTTGGAGATGATGAATAGGTTTCATGATGGAAGTTCTTATTCAGATGCGGTTGTTGGGGTACATAAGGAGACAGAGGTTGTGCAAGAGGGGAAGCTCACAAATGCGAAGGAGATGAATAACGCTAAGGATGTGTATATTCCAGTGGAGGAAAGGGCTTGGTTGAGATCGTCCCTTACTGGTATTGTAAAGAGTTTCAAATTCAAATGTGCAGAAAGCATTAAGGAGTGGGGCTTTAATGTAAGGTTGTAAGGTGGGGCTTTGCTAAGAATGCTTGCTTGGTCGTGTTCCAATCTGTGGATGAGATGAAGTCAGCGATGGAAAGAAAATGGGAAGAGTTGTCTTTCTGGTTTGATAGGTTGGAGCCTGTGTTTGATGAGGACAACATTCCCTTAGCTTATTGCTCGATCTCCATGATAGGAGTCCCTTTAAACTGCTGGTCGGTTCCTTTTTTTACTAGGTTGGTATCCAAGTGGGGTAAACTAGTTAAGATTAAAGATGAAACTGCACAGAAGTGGACTGTAGAGTGGCGCAAATGATCCTGAGGGTCTTTAGTCCTTTTGACATTCTGATCATACTACCATTACAACGTATGGGAGGAATTTCTGGTCAAAATAAAGGGTGGAAGGTGGTGATGTTTTCTTTTCTGAGTTGTCAGAATTTGTTGAAGATGATGTTCTAGAGGAGCCATGGGCGGAGCGCTCTTCCAATTGGAGCGCAGAGGATGTTCAGGTGAAGCATGGAGGCCATGTGGGTTGTCAGGGGTTGTCAGAAACCCGTAGAAGGGTTCAGGACTGGGTTCAGGGCTCGCATCATAGTAAAAGTACAGAAACCGAGAGAGTTGTCTCCACTCAGCATGAAAAGTCGAGAGGCTTGTCTGTAGGGATAGATAATGGGAAGAGTGTGGAGGGAGATTCCTATGCGCTTGATATAGTTGACAGGGAGGTTGGGCTTCAAAAAGATAAAATCAAGGATCCAGTGGGTATCGAAGATGGAGACGGGCCTGCTGTTGGTTTAAAGTTGTTAAATTCAAGAGCTGGTTCACAAGCAGGTTCTGTAAGCTCGATATACATGAAGACTGCTCCGGTTGCTAGGGAACTTATCAGAAGTCACAAGATATTTTATAGCAGGTCGAAATGCAGAAAGATTTGGAATAATAATGTGCAGGATTGGAAGAATGAACAGAACGAGAAGGAGGTTCCCCGAGGGGTGTTAAATGATATGATGGGCAGGGATTTATGTTCAAGAGGTTATCTTTCTGAAGTTGCTGAGGCAGCTGGGGTTTATGCAAGGGACAATGATGGTACTAGGCCGAAGAGAATTATCAGGAGAGTTAAAAGATCCCTTTTTAGGGATGCTACGGATCATGCTAGTGTCTCTACATTATCTTCATCAGTTTTTCCCTTGTTGGTGGAGGAAGCTATTGCTACATGGGAAATAGCAAGTTATTGGGAATTTCTTTCAAAGAAGGGAGGGAAGCTTTATACAGAAGATTATAGAGTTGGAGAAAGGTTTGAGTGGGGCTCCTTGAGGTCGAATGTTTTCCTTGGAGTTTAGGCATTATTAATCTAGAGTATCATGCCAAAGCTTAGTATTTTGTCGTGGAACGTTAGGGGTTTGGGTAGAAGAGAGAAGCAAAGAGCTGTGCAAAAATTAGTTTCGGAGAGAAATCCTACTTTCCTATTTCTTCAAGAAACAAAACTCGAGAATTTACCAAGATCTTTTTTAAGGAGAAGTGGTTTGAATAGGCTGCAGAGGTTCGTTGAGTCACCAGCAGAAGGTTCTTCTAGTGGTTTGTTAAGTTGCTGGGATGATAGTTCCTTTGTGGTAGAAGATCATCATATTCACAAGAGGTTTATTGTTGTCTTCGGGGAGTTCAAATCCAATAATTTTAGGTGTGGTTTCATAAACGTTTATGGTCCATCTGTGGAGGAAGAGAAGGCTGGTTTCTTTGAAGAACTGGGACTGTTTTTAAACGGGTATAGTATCCCTTTTTGTGTGGGAGGGGATTTTAACGCTTATTTATCAAAAGATGAGAAGGAAGGTAGGGCTCACAATAGAAACTCTATGGAAATCTTTAGTATTTTCATTCAGCTAACGGGGCTTATTGATTTACCTCTTATTGGGGGTAACTTTACCTGGAGTAGTAATAGGGATTTGCCTACTATTGTTAAGCTCGACAGGTTCCTGGTGAGTGCTAGTTTCTCTGTAGAATTCTCTGGGATCAATCAGTTTTTACTGCCTAAATCTATCTCTGATCATAATGCAATTTTGTTTGAGATTGGGGAAGATAATTGGGGAAAGTGACCTTTCAGATTGTTCAATTATTTAATGTCTGAGGATGGGTTTGAGGAGAAGGTCGTGGAGTCATTTAAGGAATTTAAAAAAGACAAGGAAAGTACTGGAATTTTGAGTATACTTAGGAATACAAAGTATGCCATTAAAAGCTGGTCTCGGGATAGGAATCAGTTTCCACGTTTGGACATTTGTTCTTGAAGACAAATTCACCAATTAGAAAGAGGATGCAGCAAAATCAGTCATCCAGTGCTGTTGGGATCACGTCAGAGTTGAGGTTGTTAAGAAATGATCTTTGGAAACTATACAGAATTGAGGAGCAAATTTGGTGCCAAAATTCTAGAGAGAAGTGGTTTAAAGATGGTGACCGAAATTCTAAATTTTTTCATACATGCGCTTCAATTAGAAGGAGAATAAATTCTCTGAATGCTATTAATGTTGATGGTGTAATTATCAAAGATCTATCATTATCAAGTCTAGTGTCAGGAGCATTTCTTTAAAGCCTATAACAGTGTTTCAACTTTGGAAGTGGAGGATTTTGAGTTGATTTTTTCTCGTATTTCTATGGAGCAGAATTTAATGTTAGAAAAGGAGTTTACGTAAGAAGAGATTTGGGAAATCATCAGCTCGTGTGATAGTAATAAAGCTCCAGGGCCCGATGGGTTGAATGTGGGTTTTTTTTAAAAATTATGGTCTTATTTGAAAGGTGATATTATGAAGTTTTTTCATAATTTCTTTTTGGGGAAGGATTGGGAACATGGCATAAATCATTATTTCATAACTCTCATTCCCAAGGGCTCTAAGTTGGGGGTTTAGATGAGTTTAGACCTATTTCACTTGTAGGTGGGATGTACAAGATCCTATCTAAGTGTCTTTCGAGAAGGTTGAGATATTGTATTAACGATATTATCAGTGAGTCACAGTTTGCTTTTATTCCTGGGAGACAAATTCTGGACTGCTCTTTTATGCTAATGAAGGAATTGATTGTGGAGAAGAAAGGGTTGAAGGGTGTGTTTTTAAGGTGGACTTCAAGAAGCTTATGATTCATTAGATTGGAACATTCTCTTAAAGTCATGAACAAAATGGGGTTTGGTTCTAAGTGGTGTAATTGGATTCGTAAGTGTGTTACAACTGCTTCGGTATCAGTTTTAGTTAACGGTGTTCCTATTGCTGAATTTCCTATAGCTAAAGGTCTTAGACATGGTTGTTCCCTTTCCCCACTGTTGTTTAATTTTGTTGGAGAACTGCTGAATCTGCTGCTACGTAAGGCAGTATCTTCAGGTCTGTTTTGTGGCCTGATTGTTGGTTGCGATGAGGCTTCAGTTAATCTATCTCATCTGCAATTCGCAGGTGATCTAATTATTTTCTGCAATGCATCGAAGACACAGGTAATTAATGTTAAGAGGATCCTACTTGTTTTCGAAGTTATATCAGGCCTGAAATTGAATCTGTCTAAGAGCAAATTATTTGGGATAAATATTGATGAGGAAGTGATTCTTCAGTGGGCTAATGCTGTTGGATGCTCGGTAGG